TGTTCTAATTATCTGAGACTCATGGGCTCACTCTGGTGGTCCCAGCCTGAGGCCAGCATTTCTCAAAGCGGGTCACAGTGGACCTTCATCAGAGTCATTTGCAGGGCTGGAAAATCCTGCAGGTTTGGGGCTCACTGAGACTCACTGAATTAGAAGCGCTGAGAGGGAAGCTGGGAATCCGGACTCTAACAGGGTCCCAAGAAGGTTCCTTTGCTCACTGAAGTTCTGGAACCCTGCCCCAGGGTCCCCAGAAAGTAACAACAGAGACTCTTAAGCTACAATTAAAGTTTCAAAAGGCCCAACGGAAACCTCACCTTTACCCTTGATTTGGGCACTCAGGCAATTACGTAATAAACGTTGTCTGGTAGGCAGAGACGGTCCAAGTAAGGGGCCCTCTGAAGGAACACAGTACATGCAAGGAATACTTCCTAGTGCAAAGGTCAGCACTCCTGGGCAATTTGGACCTCATTTCTGGATAGCTGTTCACAAATGCATTACTTTACCCCTTTTCGTCTCTTCAATGGGCCACCCAGGCCATCTGCAATTTATGCCTCTTTAGCATGACTCTCTGCTCCTTAAAAGAATACAATGTCACTTGCATATCTGGAGATAACTCTGGACCCTCCCTTCTGTAGCCTGTTAGGCACCCAACACATAATAGGTCTCAATTAATATTTGATTAAATGACCAATAAAAGATAACTTTTAATGTGTTTTTTATGTACCAGGCACTGAGCTGAGTACTTAATCTACATTATTTCATTTAATCTTCACCTTAGCTCTGACCAGGAGGCCACTATAGTATGATCTTCATTTAGCACATGAGGAGATTCTGACTCAAAAACACTAAGTCCCTCCTCCACAGGCAGTCATAGTAGAGTCAGGACCCAAACCTACCTGCGTATGACTCCAAGGACTGAACTCTTACAACTATACCATACCACCTCTGAGGAACAAGGCTGTTAATGAAAGCTTTGATTAAGACCCATGGTGGCAGAGAGACTTTTCCGACTGCTCTTATCCATCTTTCTGTCTTCCATCATCCACCTTTCATCTTCATTCATCATCCATCATCCATCATCCATCCTTCATCCATTCATCATCTAACCATTATCCATCCATCCATCCATCCCTCATCCAGCCAGCAATGATTCATTCATCTAAATCTCTCATTTCTTCCCTTTCAAACCAGCTCCCAAACTGGAACCAAAGTCCTACCCACACATCCCTATTTTTACTCAGTTTTTTTGGTGTCACTAATACCTTTATGTCACCAGGACAAAAATAAAATAATATTCAAAACAACCCCCCCACACACACACAAAATCAAGTCTTAAGTGTCATTCAGTTGACCTTATCTCCTTAGCGCAGAAACCCCAGCTGAAGCCAGGGCTCCCCCAGGGGAACAGAAGTAAGATCGAGACAGAGAAGGAAGATGAGGAATTAAGAAAGCAAGAGCTGAGAAGAAACTTTCTCAGGAAATCACAGACCACTGGGCAAGGGCTCCTGAAGGCCAGCCTCCTGCAGACTGTTCCGAGATAGAGACTAAGGGCCCAGAGCAGGGAGCTCCAGGTCTCGTGGTTCTCGTTACTCTCTACCTTGTTTCCTAGTTATTAAGGCTTTGGCTATTCCTTTCATTGCAAAGATAAATCTGACAGGACCTGAGTTTCATTCATTCCACAGTACCTAGCAATGTGCCTGGAATATAAAATCTCTCTCTATATCTATATCTATATCTCTCTATATATCTCTCTCTATATCTCTCTCTATATCTCTCTCTATATCTCTCTCTATATCTATATCTAATCTATATCTATATCTATACTATCTATCTATATCTATCTATATATATATCTATCTCTATAACATCTATCTATATCTATATCTATATCTATGTATAGATATAGATATAGATATAGGTATATATATGTGTGTATGTGTGTGTATATATATGTGTGTGTATGTATATACACACACATATATATATGAGTGGGAGATGGATGGAGGGTTCAGTAGGTGGGGGGAAGGACAATTGGAAAGGTGAACGAGTGGATGATTTAGATTGACGTGTGAATAAATTGGTGGATGGTTAGTAGTATGAGAGGAGGAAAGAGTATATGGAAAGATGGATGGAGAGAAGGACTCATACTTTGAAACTCTATTTCCTTTACCAATCCCATCTCAAATAGCAAATCCTATCAACCCCAGTAGGGTGGCTATTATCAAAAAACAGAAAATTACAAGTGTTGGCAAGGATGTGGAGAAATTGGAATCCTTGTGTACTGTTGATGAGAATGTAAAATGGTGCAGCCACTATAGAAAAAAGTATGGTGGTTCCTCAAAATACTACATAAAATTACCATATGATCCAGAAATTCCACTTCTGGGTATATTCTGAAAAGAACTGAAAGCAGGGTCTCAAAGAGATATGTATACACCCATGTACACCCATGTTCACAACAGCATTATTTAGAATAGCCAAAGGTTACCCAGCTGTCCATTGACAGATGAATAGGTAAACAAAATGTAGTATATACACACACTCAAATATTATTCAGCCTTAAAAAGGAAGAAAATTCTGACACATGCTGCAACATGGCTGAACCTTGAGGACATTACACTAAGTGAAATAAGCCAGTCACAAAGAGCA